CCCGCCCGCCGCCGCCGCTCCCGCGCCTCCATTCGGCTCCGCCGCCGCCCGCCGAGGAGGGGACAGCGACAGCCGGGAGCACGGGAGAGGGACGGACTCTCCCCCGCCGCCAACCCGTTTCCTCCTCCTTCTCCTCCACCTCCTCCCCCGCCTCCGCCTCCGCCTCCCGGCCGGGAAGAGCTCGCCGTGCCCGCTGCAGCCCCGCTGGATGCACTGAGCGCTCGGGCGCGGGGAGAGAGGGGCAGGAGGGAGCCGGGAGCCCCGCCGCGGAGGCGCTGCGCTACCCGGAGCCTCACGGCCATTTGCTTTAATTCTTTTATTGCCCCCCGGCCGCCTCCTCCTCCCTGCCCGCAGGAGCCAGCCGAGGCGGCGGGGGCTGCATCCCCCCCTCCCCCCCTTTTTTTTTTAATTTTTTTTTTTTTTTTTAAATTTTCATCGCCGCCATGGGATGTACCCTGAGTGCTGAGGAAAGAGCCGCCCTGGAGCGGAGCAAGGCCATCGAGAAGAACCTGAAGGAGGACGGGATCAGCGCGGCCAAAGACGTGAAACTCCTCCTGCTCGGTGAGAACCCGCCGGTCGCCCCCCTATCGCCCCCCTCCTCCTCCTCCTCCCCCGTGCTTATCCCACCTCATCTCTCTTCCAACAGGAGCCGGAGAGTCGGGAAAAAGCACCATCGTGAAGCAAATGAAGTAAGTCCCGCGGGGGGAGCGAGTGAGCGGCGGTGCGGGGCGGGAGAGCGGGGCGGGGGCTCGCGGAGGTGAGCGAGGGCCGCGGGCGCCATGTTTACCTGAGGGGACCGCGCAGGCACAGCGCGGCGGGGCCGCCGCCGCTCCCGGCGCTGTCCAGGGCCCGCTGGTGCTGAAGCGTCGCCCCGCGGCCTCGCCCCCGGCCGCGGTGGAGGGAGGCCGGCAGCCCACCTTCCCCCTCCGCGCAGATGTCCCCGTGAAGCGAACTGCTGTCACTTAAGCTTAATGTCGGGGTGTTATCTGCCGGCTCTGCAGATTAAAAGCAAGGCTCCCTATCACTGAAAGCCCCTTTTATTGAGCTTGTACCTTCTCCTTTTAATTAATGAAAGACGAGCTTTGGCCACTCATCTCATTCAAACCTCTCCTGCTCTGGGATCCGGGTGTCCCTATGGTACTCGCGCTGCTCCTCACTGGGGTTTCCCACACCCTCTTCCCGTGTTTAATTAGATGTAACCGCGTAATAAACAGCAGTGAAAAGCCCCACCGCAAGGTCTCTTCCAAGCATCTCCGTGGCTCCTGTAAATGCACCCTGTAGGAAAGCAGGTGCAGGGAAGGCTAATAGGGGTGGAGGTCCACCCGTGGTGCGACTATTCTCCCCCCACCTTTTTTTTTTTTTTAATTAAAATACAATGAAACACCCCGTCCTCCCACCGGTACAAACATGACGGGCTGGTTGGAGGCGGGCGCCATCACGGAACGAGCCTGGGCGCTGGTTCAGGGTCTGGATTTCAGCTGGGAGCGGTTGCCGCTTTGCGATGCTAGTGGTTGCAGAGGGATCCGTGGCTGGGAGGGGCCCCCCCGGGACCGGGGTTGCTTAGCGAGGGGAAGAGGCTCAGAGATGGGTGTGGATGGATCGCGGGGAGCGGGGTGCGGGTCCCGGCGCGGGGATCCGGGGCTGCGCGGGCCGACGGGCGGGTCCCGGCGCGGCGTTCAGGCGGTTCGCGCTGGACAGCGCCCGGCGGGGGCTCGGCCGGCGGCAGCGGGGCCCCTCCGGCACCGCGCGGCTCCTCCCGGCGGCGGCCGCGCCGCGCTCCGCTGCCTCCGGAGGGGCCGGGGAGAAGCCTGAGGGGCTCCTGAATAACCAAAGGGGCCCGCGCCCCTCGCAAGCTGCTGCCCTGAGCTCCCGTAGCCGCCCCGGGTGTGCGTGTGTGTGTTGTGTGTGTGTGTGTGAATGTGGGTGTGCGCGTGTGAGTGCGAATGTGTCAGTGTGTGAATGTGGGTGTGAGTGTGTGAGTGTGGGTGTGTGCGTGTGTGTGCATGTGCGTGCACCATGGGCGTAGATCTGGGCCTTCAGCCCAGCTCCCCTCCAGACAAGGTGGCTTAGCAGGTGACCCGGATATTTCTGTATCAATTCTGTGGCCGCTGTGCCCACCCCTCGGGGGTTCAATGAAACCATCATCCCCGCCTGAGGCAGTGCTTTTCCCAAGGCGTTGCGGGGCTGGGAGCTCACTGTGAGCAGACTCGCCTCCAGTGCTCAGTGGTGTCCATGGCTTTCCACACTGACGTTTGTGTACCCTCCTTCTGTAGAGGCTCTGATTATCCCCTTTCACTGTTTGAAAGGGGTTGATCCCCCCTTTCACCCCCACAGTTTGATTTGGGTCTGGGGTGGGGTGGGTTTGGTTTGCTCTTGTTTGTGTGCAAAAGGTAGATCAGGAGACATGTCGCTGCAGATGACCAATAAATTATTTAATCTCTAGGAACTGCTTCTGCAGAAGCATGCTGGAATGGCGGGCGATGGGTTTTGGTTGAAGGGAGAGGCTGTAGGAACTACAACAGCAGAGTGCACACGTAGAGCCCATAGGCAGGAGGGCAGGCAGTGACCACACTGGCTACACAATAAATGAACAATCACTCTTGTTTTCCAAAGAGCAGAGCTCTTGTTTTTTGAAGCAAATCACATCAAGATAATAACCTGTTTGCTAGACTAGATTGGTATATTGAGGACACACATTTTGTGTGTGTGTGTGTATATATAGATACATTTCATTAAAACGACTCAAAAGTAAGGCATGCTAGGCTTGCAGCTTTGTACCTGATATGAAAATGTCAAGAAAGCTGCTATGTTGGATGGGCTTATAATGCTGGAAACTGGGAGGCATCCATGAGTGTGGAAACTCCAGTGAAGTGTGCGGAGGCTGGGGTGGGGACAGCAGTGTTGCTATGAGCACGGCAGCAGCATCTGGGGAGAGGCGCGCAGCCGCGGGCGCCAGGGAGAGCGATGTGCAGGGAGCAACGTGGGGAAACTAACATTGCTGAAAATTAATTTAAATATAATGTAGGCATTAGCATTTCACCTGGTCAAGCTCCATTAGACAAGCTTGCTGAGAACCTAATGAATTCTTAATAAAGATTAAATCGCATGTTCATTAGATTTTGATGAAAGACTGCTATTTTTTTTAATACTGTGTTATTGGTGTGCTTCTAGATAATAAATCTCATCCTCATGAATGGCTAAAGCGGCTTCACACTTGGATATTGCCTTGAAAACAAGCACAGGAATCTATAGACAGATTGGAGAATGCTAAGACAAAGGAACAGAGAGCAGACATTGTTACATAGGACTAGAAGAGGTTACACACTGCCCAGTTAATCCTTGGAATGTTAGGTACAGAAGAAGTAGAAATTACAGTAATTTGAGAGTGTGGCCAGGATGGAGATAAGGATTTGTAAATTTAATTTAGGATTTTTTGGTGAAATATTTGGAGATACCTTTTAGCTGGTGAGTGAGGGTTTATCGAGCAAAAAAAAGAGGTACTGGTGAATGACAGAGAGGTGGAACTGGAGTCTGGCAAACAGTGGCAGCACAGGCTAGGAATGACACTTTTCTTAGTCCCCATGGTTGTTTTGACACCCTTAAGCCTTGCACTTTGACTGCTCCACCTTGGCTGATTAATTTTGCTGTATATTTCACAACCAGTCCTGCCGTCCACATACTTTTACCCATGCCTCAGAATGAAGGGTCAGAGCCAAGCTAGTCAGAGGAACAGTCCTGAAAGGCATGGTTGTGCCATGCAAGCCAATGAGACTCCAGAGTGTGCCACAGCATTCAGAATCAGGCTGTGACCAGATTCTGTTTTCACTGAGCTTAATCTAAAAACCATCTGTAACCAAGCAAAGCTGGGGCTTTCCTTTAAAATCCAAGCTAGAAGGTGAGAGTTACCAGACAAGAGAAATTCATCTTGCACTCACACCACCCTATTTCAGTAAATTCACGATGTAGGAATGGATGTTAACATTTTTCAGATCTTATATATTCAAATAAATGTCAAGCACATGCGGAATTTGGAACTTATAATATTTTCTGGGATACCTGGACTGTAGCATGAAATCAAGACTGATGTTATTCTAGGATATTTTTGTGGGGACTTAAAACTCTGGTGAATGTGCTTGTTCATCAAAAGCCCCAGTGGAGAAGGACACCAAGCATATCTCCATCTCATAGTGCTTAGCAGGACACTTAAATCCATGCAATGGTCCACTGGTGAGCTGGGGACACCATCCGCTGCCATCAGCACAAGGCTTCCAGGGAATTCAGTGTTTAATTGTGCTTGCACAGAGAGGATGAGTTAGCTGGCATGGCTTCAAAAACAAGGTCCTGCCACCTAGTCAGCAGCCACCGTTCTGGATGGTGAGCCAGGGCAGTATTTCACCTTCCCAAACGGGAGATTAGTGATAGGTGTGGCATTCCAGAGGAGACTTGGCTTCATCTACCCACACGAAAAATCTTGGAGCCTGGGATTTCATTTTGGATTTTACTTTTGCAGAAGCAGCAACTTCTGTCCCCTGCTGAGCTGGGTGCAGAGAGCTGGGTCCAGCTCCCTTTCATAGGATTCTGGCACTTCCAGCCCTGCATATCCTCTGGAGCAGCTATCTGCCACTTCACCAGAAGTACTGGTAGTAACTCAGTTGATAGGCTTCTCTGCTGTGCCAGGTTTCACAAAATGTTTTTTTATGTTAAGTATGAGAAAGATGGAAATATACAACCAGGAGAAAAATACACTAGTGTACAGTGCTTATCTTGAAATATCTACTCTCCTCTCCCCAAAAGCCATCAGTCCCAACAGGTGGCTGATATATTGTTCTGACCTTTTTCAAAAAGCCCCTCAAAACAGCCCCAGGTTCTACTTGCTCTCTGTATAACCAAATTACTTATAATCTAATGAACTTCTTCAGTGAGAAGCGATCCCCGCCCACTGGTTTTACAGCAATTTGATGCCAAATGCCATTGAAATGAAATGATGTGTTGTGAACACCCACTTGAGTGCTCTTTGCTGCATGTCTGTGTCTCAAATCCGTAGTGATTTCACACTTGCAGCCCCTTCCCCCAGGAATACTTCACCCCCCAGGGGCTAACGGCACAGAGTTTCTTCGCCTCTGCAGCATCTTGCCAGGGACAGGGCTGCAAACTGCATCTTCATGGTCTGTCCCACTGCCCAGCACAGCTCTCCTGCCCTGTGGCACTGGGTGCAGAGCCCCACTCGGCTCTGCTTCCATCTGGGAATTGTTTGATCGTGGTGTGAGCTGGCAGCCCAGAGGCATGAACCTCACTAGAGCACCAGGTCAGGCTGAGCCATCCTCATCTTTACTTGTCTCCTGCTGTTTTCCAGGATTTCTGTGATTTCAAGCCCAAACTAGGGCAGCGACAGGCTGCACCTGGGCAGTATTTGAACTGGGTTTCAATAAGCAGGGCAAAGAGCTGCAGCCTTCCCGATGAAGTTGTGTTGTTCTCCCAAGACCTGCCCCAGTGCCCTTTGCCCTGGGTGTGGATTTGGCACCGTGCATGTGGCACACAGACCCCAGGAAGGAGGAAGTAGGCTCGGGTGGGGCTGCTTTGGCAGTGGAACCTGCAGTGAAACCAGTAGCAAACGGCCTGCTGGGGCAGCTCTGGGATGTTGGGATGGCAGCTGGGCAGTGCTTTACCTGCCCTGAGCAAGTCAGAGTCT